CACCAGGAGAATAAACATGATGATGCGTGATTTTTTAGCAACATGCGTTTATCGAAACGAATAGCGGAAGTGAATTCAAAATTGCTCGGCAATGATCCTAACCGATTTTTTTTTTCGAAACAGGGAATCACAATTTTTTCGGGACACCAACATTCAGGGGATTAAACAAGGGCAATTGCCAGCCATTACTACTATACAATACATATCTATCTAAGAACAAGAGCACGCGAACGTGCGTGTACATGTAAACGTTAATTCCTCGAATGCTGGTGCCCTGTAAAATCTGTAATTTGCTGGTTCCAAAAAACTGAAAAATCGAGTAGGATCATCGGCAATGACGTCACCGTCCCCTTCTAGGCGCAGGAGCCAGGCGTCAGCGCGAGCCCCGCAGCTCGGCGTGGCAACGGCGTCGCGCACATCTCATGAACAATTACCCGCTCCACGTCCACTCCGGGAAAGGACAGGGACCTGGCGTTTTGTATAAAACACCTAGTTTCTAGGATTTTAAGGACTCTTTTGCCAGCGCTGGTGAGGGCCCGTGCTGCCTGTGCTGCTGCGACCGTGGTCTCCACCGGCTTACAAGCGTGTAAGGGCTTACAATTCTCATCCTGGGCTAGCCGGGATGAAATGTTTTGTGTGAATGTCATTGTTTTGTTGTTGGGTTTTTATTCTCGAGCATTGCGAGTGCCACAGTTTGCCATGTCTTGCCGGCACGCTTCATTTTCTTTTAGCAGATTTCGTTGTGTGAGAATATAGGTGTATCACTCGTGTGAATGTGCTTTTATCTTCTCCACTGGTCGAGTGTCTAACCACCGAAACAGGACAATCGGTAGCAGGAATGGACAACAGCGGACGATGCATGAACAATTCCAACAAGCAGGGCGAGCTGGGTTGCAAGCTGATGTGTTCGAAAAAGCAGCATCTCTAGTTGCGGCTAGAAACGAAATGTTTTCCCAAAATATCATCCCGCAGCCCAGCCCGACCCGCCTAACTGATGACCCATCCCGCAAAGCCCGCCTCACTACACTGCTGATCACCATTAATCCGCAAATACTAATTTATTGCAATATGCATGATGATTTCACCTTAAGCTGAGACCAGTGCATAAAAATGCGCATAAAATGGCATACTCATCTCACCTAATGCATAACATTACTTTACTAACACCAGTTATGTTACTCAGGGAGCAGCAATCAAAGTACCAGCACGATGGAATTTATAATGCATTAAAGTATACCCTTGACACTGTGATAGCAGTTTTCCGCTACAAATGAGAATGATGAAGATGAAAATTAAACCGCTCTGTCATCAAAAGTCTCAAAGGGCCCTTCTATTTCATTTCAATAAACCACAGGCCATTTCTTTAAAATTGCATGCCTCAAGTGATAGCTTTGCACTGGCAGAGTATCAAATGCTGAATGTTCCAAGTTATGGGAAGTGTATTCTTCAAATCATGGGAAGTGTCGGCTCATTACAATGTACATGAGTTCGAACATCCTGGCACTGCGCCACAACTGTCACTGGTGTCATAGTTCTCACTAAACGACCTCAGCCAGCCTCCTCTATGGTGTTCGCTGTTCCTAGGAGGTTACATGTTATAACCATACCACATAGCAACCATATGGCAGCTTTGAACTTGTCAACATTTCTATCACACCACTATCCATGTGCCAGCCCATAACAATCGCCGCGCCGCACCTGTGATACGGCCTTCAGAGCAAGGACAGTGACATCATTGACAGCTAGCAACACCATCAAAAACCTTGAAACATTGTTGCATCTAAAAAGCCTTTCATAAAAACAACGAACAACTACCAAAATAACTTCCAAGAACTCGTTCTGTAGCACACGACGCCTGCAGAATACCTTTTACGATGTTTAATGAATGCTTCATAGACGTCATATGTTGAGAAGATATCTTTATACAGAACCGTGTGCATGCTCAAATATTTTCAAAAAGTGAATAAATCATGCAGAACAAAAGCCTTCATGACAAATTTGTAGAACAAGAGTAAAAATCACAACAGGAGAAACCATAAAATGTAAGCGCTTTTTAATCGTAGTCGTAAATTTATCTTCATCAGACTTTGATAAACCAACTCTCCGCCAACAGCTTCTTCGGTTTCGGCAACTCTTGCGCATTTGATACGTTGGTTACTACTGGCCGTATTGACAGGTGAGTGAAGCTGGAACAATGAGAGGCTCACAGTTCACATGCATTTCATCAATGGTGGATATTGATTGTAATTTGTAAGATGGGTTCTTGTGTGGAAACCAAGAAATGTGAGCGCACCACACCTTCGTCACAACACAAGTGCAGTGTGCGGTTGTTTTCACACAAAGGACCCACCTGAATGCTGCTCAATAAAATCAGACCACACGTTTAAAGATCTGGGCTGCTATTCTCGATTTTTTTCGTGAATTGTTTGCTTACAGCTGTCCAATTTGTGCGGCCTGGTTTTCTGGTGTGTCATGTCCGACATGTGCTTTCTGTCACTGGTGCTCTTCCCGTAACAAGTAAAAACATGTTTTTTTAATTATGTTTGCTGGCCCTGGGATAAAGATTTGCATAAATACAACATTTTGTTTGCTAACATTTTCGGTACGCAAAAACCCGCCAAGTCTGGTCGATAACCCAGCCAAAAGCCTGCGGGTTCTTGCAGGTCAGAAATTGGCGCGTCGGCGGCCTGAAAAGGTGCGTCTCTAGTTCCCACCCCTCCCCCTGCCTGGACCGCCCGCTCACTCTGAGATAAGCGGCCGACCAGTCCAATTCCGAGTACCGCCGCCGCCCGGTTACAAACCGGCATCCGGGCGACGCACGTGTCCAACGCGTGCGCTCCCCCCCCCCCCCCCCAAGCGCCACGCGGGCCGCGCGTCGCGCAAGTGAGAGGGGGAGGGGGTGACGCATAGAGCGCTGTCTCCGCCGCACGCTGCCTCTGCGGCGCCCGTCCCCATCCAACAGGTGGCCGAGGTAGGGCAGATGGCGCTGGAGGTGGGCAGCAGGCACAGCGTCAGCCTTTGGCGGTCATCTGCGTCGATACCTTCTGTTCAGAGGTCAACACTGACAGGATCATCTCCCTGGACACGGCTTGGCTTGGGCTCGACTCGAATGCCGCCTCACGCGGCCAGGATGGTTTCGCGACTAGCCGCTCACATTGAAGCCACGGCTGCTGCCAATGTAGGCACCACTGGTCCCAAAGTGAGCGCCACTGGTCCCCATGTGAGCACCACTAGTCCCAATGTGAGCACCACTGGTACCAATGCCAGCACAACTGGCGCCAATGTGGACACCACTGGTGCCAATGAGAGCCCCACCGGTACCAATGTGAGCACCATTGGTGTCAATGTGGGCACCACTAGTGCCAATGTGCGCACCACTGGTACCAATGTGAGCACTATTGGTGTCAATGTAAGCACCATTGGTGCCAATGTGAGTACCACTGGTACCAATGTGAGCACCCTTGGGGTCAATGTGGGCACCACTGGTGCCAATGTGCGCACCACTGGTACCAATGTGAGCACCCTTGGTGTCAATGTGGGCATCACTGGTGCCAATGTGAGCGCCACTGGTACCAATGTGAGCACCACTGGTACCAATGCCAGCACTATTGGTGTCAATGTGGGGACCACTGGGGCCAATGTGAGCACCACTGGCACCAATGTGAGCACCAATGGTGCCAATGTGAGCACCACTGGTACCAATGTGAGCACCCTTGGTGTCAATGTGGGCACCACTGGTACCAATGTGAGCACCCTTGGTGTCAATGTGGGCATCACTGGTGCCAATGTGGGCACCCCTGGTGTCAATGTGGGCACCCCTGGTGCCAGGGGATGTTGCGCCAGGTCATTGCCGGCTGCTGAACGCAAAGTCGCGGCTTGCTTGATGAAACCGTGTTGCTTGGGGATGCGCCTGATAACTATGTGCCCAAGGATTTTATTGTACTTGGTACTATCCACATTCATACCATATCGTACTTATTGCACAACCGCACTCTTATGTGATGAGTGCATATGCCACCCGATTGGTCACGCCACTGGCATCTGTTGTCTGTCCTGAAACTCTGTTTTTCCTTGTATGCGCCGATAGCCTGTACAATGGTCCGCACATACTGAACATGCACAGCACTGCACATCAAAAAGCACAAATTGCTAGGTTTCAAGAGCTCAACACGCGTTTGTGTCGGAGGTCAATAAGATCCCCCTACCGAATACTTTTCCAGAAAAACCTCCCCAAGGTTGTCGATTGAATCCACCAGTAGATGAAGACAATATTCCGCTGAAAACATATCGTGATATCATTATATTGCATAGTGAGGTCACAATAGGTTACGCAAGGACATGCAATGTCATACAGGTCATCCAAGGCCAATGAACTCTGTTGTCGGTAGCGGTGAAGCTCGGCGAACGAATGCGACGTGTGTAACGACCTCTATGCCGTGGAAGTGAAGCTGATGACGTATAATTTCATGTACCAGCGTGCCTATTCTCAGTTGTTACAAATACACTGCCAAATGTCTAGGGGGCTATAAACAATGTTCACGAAAGCTGTACAATCTCCAGTGCATGTAGATATACAACCCATAATTTCGGATCACAGAAAAGTGATGTACTGCCGATCACTCAGGTTAGCACTTTAATCCTTTATTTGGACGGTCTATTAATCTAACTTGAGTTTACCTCAGGTAACGTCTAGAGAAGCCCAAAACGACATTTTTGCTTCTGGGATGCTTTTGTCCAACAGCTGCGCCTATTACGATTAAGTGAGTCAGAGTCGTATTGTGAAAGAAAGCAAAAAAGGTCGTTCTTGTAGGCTACTGGTAGACCAATTACGAACAGTGACCTGACCTGACCCTTGTGGGGGCAAAACATGGTCGGAAAGGATTCCCCATTCTCCACTCTTGTCTCTAAATCCTCGATGTCTGTCTTGACGTGATTACAATGTTTTAATTGCATCTATCAGAGCGAGCTTTTTCTTTTTGTGATCTATGCTGACCCCACATTTAACTTAAGATCAAGCTGCCCCCGGGCCGGGCGCGGATGTCTCCGACCCCCATCCGGGCGCGGATGTCTCCGGCCCCCAGCCAGGCGCGGATGTCTCCGGCCCCCAGCCAGGTGCGGATGTCTCCGACCCCCAGCCAGGCGCGGATGTCTCCGGCCCCCAGCCAGGCGCGGATGTCTCCGGCCCCCAGCCAGGCGCGGATGTCTCCGACCCCCAGCCAGGCGCGGATGTCTCCGGCCCCCATCCGGGCGCGGATGTCTCCGACCCCCAGCCAGGCGCGGATGTCTCCGGCCCCCAGCCAGGCGCGGATGTCTCCGACCCCCAGCCAGGCGCGGATGTCTCCGGCCCCCATCCGGGCGCGGATGTCTCCGACCCCCAGCCAGGCGCGGATGTCTCCGGCCCCCATCCGGGCGCGGATGTCTCCGACCCCCAGCCAGGCGCGGATGTCTCCGGCCCCCAGCCAGGCGCGGATGTCTCCGACCCCCATCCGGGGGCGGATGTCTCCGACCCCCATCCGGGGGCGGATGTCTCCGACCCCCAGCCAGGCGCGGATGTCTCCGAACCCCAGCCACGCGCAGGCTAGTCAGACAACATTTATTGTGGATCTTGTCCAGGTAAGCAAGCGCTATACGTAATACGTTCCTACCACCAGCGCGCAGCTAGGATAAAGGAGTCCATGTATTTCACGCCGGCGTCAGACATGCGCCCCCCCCCCCTTTTTCGCTTTTAGCAGACATGTCTGAATCTATGTATAGCACAGCCAATTACAGCCCGAGTGCAACGTCCAGCCCCACATGGGACGATTGTCAGACAAGCCTCCTCCACGCCGGAGGCAAGAAGAAGTACTGTCGCACCAGGCACGAGCTGACACGGGGAGAGGTGAAGAACCAGCCGGTCTCGCCATCTTCATCCTGACCAGTGGAACGTCTCGTACGACGTGGGATGTAGAAGTGTGTGTCTCATGAAAATGGGTGGCACTGGATGGGTAAGGCGTCTGGAATGAAAAGGCTAGCTTCTGTACGGTCTCACGTCTTGCTCGTGTTCGTGCTGTGCTCCTCCATATCGGCGCGACTCCACCTGCCCAGGTGCTGACTGGAGACCACCAAACGGGATTTTCCACGTCGTTTTTTGGCAACGGCAACTTGCCGCCTGTCTGCAACCACCATTATGCCTTCATCTCTAAGGGGATTCAAAACCGGACCGCTGTTGGCCCCCGACCCCAGTGCTTTCTCACGCACAGCGCTGTGCATGCTCACTATGTCCAGATCATTGTACAGGCTACCAACGCTTTCAAGGGAAAAGAAAGGAAAGAGAATGCTATGACAGACAGCAGACATTGTCGGCGTGATAAATCCGGTTTCATAGATACTGGTCACACATTAAGTATGACAGCATAATAAGTATTGTATGGTATGGACATGGATAGTGCCAAGCATGATAAAATCCTCGGGCGCACAGTTAAAGGGCGCAGCTTCAAATAACACAGTTTCGCCATACACTTGGGGCGACTTGGGGATGGTCCCGTCAGTGTTGACCCCTCAGTAGAAGGCCTCGACGCAGACGACCGTCGCAGGCCGACGCTGCGCCTGCTGCACAACCCCAGCGCCATCTGCCCTTCCTCAGCCACCTGTTGGCTAAAGGCAGGCACCGTAAGGGCAGCGTGCTGGTGGTCACCGAAGCAATGCAATCAACAAACAAATATCTCACCAGATCACTTTAACAATGGCTAATCGGTATTTATTAACACACATACGCACACACACACACACACCGGCACGCAGCGCCCTCTGCTCTCCCTCCCCCCCCCCCTTCCACGTGCGCGACGCGCGGCTCGTGTGGCGCTTGGGGAGGGGGGGGGGGGCGCACGCGTGGGACACGTGCGTCCCCCGGACATCGGTTTGTTACCGGCCGGCGGCGGCGGCCAGAAGTAGACCGGTGGGCCGCGCCTCTCAGCGTGAGCGGCGCTCCAGGTGGGAGCAGCGGACTACAGGGCCGGTCGGCGGGCGCCAGGCTCCAGCTGTGACAGTCGGGCGAGTGGGGCCGGCGAGGCTGGTGGGCTGCACAGGAGCCGTGACGTCACGCGGAGTGGAGAGCCGGCTGGCGGGCTTGGGGCGGCCTCTGCAGCCGACAGGACACATAACGGATTGCACTCTTAGTGTCCGGGTCTATCAAGTCAAAGCTCGTTGGAATCCAATCCACCTGCTACTTGGAGCTTGGCATTTTTTTAGCCCGCCCTCCTCCCTCAAAGAAAAACCGCCCCAAATCCGCCCTAATCCATATTCAAGTTTCTACTGCTGTCATCAAAGCTTGGAAAATGCGCTTTTCTAAGCAGATCTATGCAATAGTCTCCTTTAACAAATTCCATACAGGTATGTTGATGGGTGCAAAAATAAACAATTGGTAGGTAAGATTAAACATTCTGACTGGGCCCACAAATAAACTGCCATGCTCTCAATTGGTGACCTTAACCCTTGCCCTGATCCGCCGTTTTTTCATAGCGCTGATCTATGGAGGGGGGGGGGGGGAATAGGTCGATGTGACCTCCCTGGCCTTTTTAAACTAATGAAGATCGACCTCAGCGGAAACACCAGCGAATTAGTACTAGGTTTATGTTGTTAGGTTAACTGGCCCTTTTTCAGGTAACAGGTCAAAGTTGCTAGAAAATCGCGCTTTTTGACTTAACAACATGGTACATACGAGACCATGCCTTTTGACAACACAGATCTTAACACGCATGTTCCTGCTTTGACTATGATTACAGTAATATATGTTCTAATGTGCTTTGAGCATACAATTGTGATACATGTCTCCGTTAATGTTACAGTGTCGGCACGCCACGCGCGTTCCACGGCGTCGCCGGTTACCGCCCGCCGCCCGCGCCGGCCGTTGGTCGCCGCGCAGTGTTCCTCAAACACCTCGGCTGCTGCGAAACCGCGAAAGCTAGAAACATGACGGGTGCCAAAATATGTGCAACGAATGCTCAATAGGTTAATACAAATTTGGCAGTACTTGCGAAACGTGCCAGTGAGGTATTTTGAAAAAAGCTTTAGAGGATCGCAGAAATAATGATTATGTACCTATCATCACGATGCAGGCCTTCTAAGCGACATATTGATGCTTAATGAAAGGACAAATTCCGATCCAGGAATTTCGATCGGCGGGAGCCTCTCTAAAACGGGCATTCATTTCAATCAACGGGCCACTAGCCCTACGTAAAAGCTTAGATTTTGCTCAAAAATCGGTGGCCCCATGGTATGAGATAAAAAAAAACACGCAACATACATACTTGGCTACTTGAGCAATACCAAAATTATCGCCATTTTGCATATCGCAAGCTCTGCCTCACATAAGCCGTGTTTAGTGCGGGCTCATGTAGTCGGTTCTGCAAGACTGCCATGACATCGGAACACTTAGCACCCGTATTGGTTTTATTTTGGTGTGTGTGGTCAGCATTTAGATCACAAGTTCAGTGGAAGGAACACGGTCATTCCATGCTTCTCATTTTTATGTTTTGAAAAAAGCATTTTGCAATGATTGCATCCCGAAAATTATTCCTCACGGACCCAAACTTGATCAATGAGGCGATAGACCGTAAGCACGGCTAGGTTCCACTCAATGATATTCCAAGAAATATCGAAAAGCACATCTCTAAATTTGTGATTAAAAATGTCAAAACTATTTTGAAATGCATAACTATTTTTATCTTACAGTAATGCCATTTGTTAATTCGCCATGTTCTTTCCCAATGAATCATGAAAAACGTAGTACGCATTTTCATACCGACCCATCGAGCGAGAACCGAACCTCGCCTCCCGCAGTCGCGGTCGGCTGCCGTTCCCCAAGCCCCCTTCCTCCATAGAGTCGCGTGTCTGACGCAGTGTGCGGCGGCGCGCAGGGGAAAGTGGACGGGCAGCCCGCTGATACCGAGGACGGCAAGGATGAGATGAATCACGTTTGGGTTCCCTATTCACACTTATTACAAAGGGAGCGACCGTTCCAGTCGCCTGAGTGTGAGAAAGATTATTGAGCGGTGCATCGCTAGACACTGCATTGTAATCGCAAGGCTGACAGCACTGGCGTGTCTAATTACGACCAGAGACCCGAAAAGCTACTTGGAAGTGGTCCAACTGTAGTGCTCCTTTAGAAACCACCACGCTTGCCATCAAATACAACTCACTCGAAGACGTGTCGAGTGTTTTTTTTTATCACGTGTTTTTCACACGTGAGATCTGTGAAAAAGCGATGTGCCCTCATCACGAACAAGGCTATTAATGCAATATAACAAAGTCAGAAGAGGAGCGTCGCAACGGTGAAGAGGTTCAACAACCGACTGTTGCAAACGAAGTTAATTTACTGGTTGCCGTGCTATGTGTGTGGTGACAGCTGCCGTGACCGATTCCCAGTCCGTTTAACAAATGATACTAACAAAGAAAGAAGCTGCAGTCAGCCAGCTCGTCACGAGAAGAGCACATGAGATCAACGGAGAGCGGCAGCAGGGCCGTCGACGGCGGGTGCTCGTCTCCAGCAGCACCAGGACCTCCTCGCCATGCGCAGAGTCAAACCCGCTCTCATTCGAATCCAAATTCGACACTTGGTCAAAATAGCCCGAGAGTTAAAAAAGGAAAAATGTTCTCGTAGCAGCCACAATAGAGAAGCCCTTGTACGTCGTGTCAAAATAGAGGTGGCAAAACATGGACGTGAAACAGTGTTTCTAAAGAGGCCATATCAGCGTATTGACGAATTATTGACGAATTTTTGCACACATTTAAGATGTGAAATATTGCTTGAACATTCATGTTAAAGACGGCAGCAATTTGGTACACCAGAAAGACGTGGTTTTGGCACACCTCTGATAGGTATACGTGCACAGCAACAAAAATGCCGAGTCTTGAAGGCCTTTAACATTGGCCAGCCTCCGTCCCTCGCGGCGTGTTCTCACTGGTTCGTCCGCAACGCAGCGTTTGTGTGCACTGTTACCGCGTTTGCGCGCATCTTCCGAATCCAAAACTGATATCGCAAGCCGCCAATAGTGCACTGACCCAGAATCACCTCATGAAAGGAAGAACGCTTTAACTTCACAAGTAAGAAATGCATGCTGAGGCATTGCAAAGAATGACAGTTAGCTAATATTGACTAACAGCATGTGCACTCAAGTCGTTTCTTGCGGACTTGCCAAATATATCGGACGCCAATGGCGTGGAGTACAACAGGTGTTCCATATAGACTACGAAACATTTCACTATTACAAACTTCTGGGAAATTTTAGAAAACCACTCGGAATTCAAAGAAACCTGGCAAAGCATTAATTCGACGCAAAAACGCAAAGCGCTTACCCGCAAGGCGCATGTGAATATTTGAGGGAGCGAGAGAGTGCATTTTATGCGGCGATCTTTCGGAAAATCACTTTTTTTGGTTCAAGATGCTATCAAGGATTTCGACGGGGTGCAGCGTAAGCAACAGTGTATCCGTTCGTCGCCCACGTGGGAATGAAAGACGGAGAGAGATGGCAGCACAAGGTGTTTTGTATAATAAGCGACCGCACCCCGAACCAGACTCAGACACATGCTCCAGAAGACGGCAAATGAATTGCTGAGACAGGAGAATAGCTCACCCC